ATAAGCGAGCCTGACTGCCATCATTTTATTCCCTATAGCTTCTAAGAGTGCTCTTTCATGATAAGAACACCTCTACAAATATTGGAAGCATACTCAAAATATGGCCTCCCCAGAACATCCCATTTTTCCCATGTTATAGATTATAAAATCGAACGATGTGACCGTCAAATTGTCGCCGGGTCAAATTTGCGATTCTTCAAGGTGGGGTCGCTATTGTTGTTGACGAAAGTTGAAGGATAGTCGCATTTTGGGGTCATTTTCATTTTGTTTCATTTAATGTTCGATGTTGACGCGCTACGACAGTATTGAGGAAATCATGTACTGAAGCGAGGTGGTAGAAGGAGTGAGAAACAAATTAACAACAAGGAAACTACCGAAGAAAAAAATGACAAGGCTCGATATCACAAGGGATCAAAAAATTCCTCCTGATAAGTTAGGCAAACAGCGCAAGGGAGCAGAAGAACACAGTTGGAGAAGGACACAAGATAGTTATGCCAGAGTTCCCAAACAACCGCATCGAAGTAAGTTTATGCTTAGCTTTGGGGAGGTGCTAGAATAAACAAGCGTTTAGTCTCACGCTGTGGCTATAAAACTGTGAACAGATTCCAGTAAGCATAGCGATAGAGAGAATGCAGCGTCTCTCTTACGTAAAACCTATATAGTCTAGATTGCATCAGACTGCATCAGTCTGCTATGGTGCCAGCTCGTCGTCGCAGGTGCTCGCCGCATTTTCTAACCACGGGTATACCGTCCACCCTAGCTGAAGCAGCAAGCAAGGCGAGTGCGTGGCTAGGAGACGTGAGCGTAGGGAGCAGCATGCCTCACCTCTGTTTGTGAACAGTGAACACATTTTTAGAAAATATCAATGCCGTCCGATGTGAAACATCCACATATTACGATTGGACGATCCACTCAAACGGCAAAGCCTTGCCTGCCAAATGGATATAGACAAATTGCGAAACATTAGGTATACAATTCTTCAGAGATAATGAATTTTTCAATCCATTTTTGAACTGCTCTAAATTTCCGGCAGACAGAATATGCGATGCGTGGGTGTGAAGCAAGTTGCTCTCAGATTTCAAAAGAATCCGAAATCCCAAGGTATCACTGGCAGCTTGGCTCAAATTATCCAAAAAATAGGGTTAGGCAAACCTAATGCGCCTAACCATAAAGATAAATTTTTCAGATCCAGTTCTTAAATCGCTCGAAGAAATCACGTAACGAAGTGGCAGATGAGATCATGACTAGAGTGTGGGCAGTGAGGAAAGGCCTGCTTACGGAAAGACATCTGAGGGATATTTTGTTAACAGCTGTACCCTTTGCGACGTTTGATGACGTGCGGTGTGGGCAAAGTGCCTTTTTGCCTTCTCCTGTATATGCAGTGTCAAATGTGCAGTAGAGAGAACGAGCTAACCCTGGTAAGGGTATCAATTCATTATCCTTCTATTTTATAAAGCGCTAACTTTGTGTGTCGGTTTGTATGTCTGTATGTGTGTGTGTGTATATGTGTGTGTGTCCGTCCGCAAAATGAAGTGGTAGGGAAACTCGTGAAGTAAACAGACCGTTAACAAAATCGAGTAACTATGACTTTAGCAATCAATGTTTTGCAGTGCTATCAATGTGATAACACCCCAACGGCTATATAAACACCTACTGAGCATGGTCTCATTCATTCCACATGATGCTGCAATAGCAGCTGGAGAGCAGTAGAGGGAATAGGATAAGATGGAGAAGGGCGAGGGGAGCTAACAAAACACCGAAAGCACACAGGTCCAATTAATATCATTCTAAGCGTCTGTCAACGATGAAGTAATGCCTTCTACTATAAAACAGGAACTTTTTTTGCTGCGTAAACAACCACACACACACACACACACACCAAAATCCCCCCAGAGGTGTCCATGTCACCACCACAAAACACACACCAGTGGATGGGAGCACATTGGAAGGAGTAAAGCTTACGCTGGTAAGGAGGTCCCGGTGGTTGCCGGGGGACAATCTGGTATTATATAAACCAGAACTTTGGTGTGTCGGTTTGTCGGTGTGTGTGCGTGTGTCGTTCTGTCCGTCCGGA